CGTGTAGCTTTGCGCGAAATTGGTAACAAACAAACGGTTCAAGCGCGAAATGGAAGAATTAAAAGGAATGTTTGTGAAACACAAACACACCTACATTTTACATAGTTGTTATCACGAATGTAGAAACTCGAGTTGGAGACCTTTTTATACTTATTTTTATATTTGACCCTATTATATATTTCATTTCTTCCCCCCCCCCCTCATCCTCCACTTAAGAAAAGCTGGAGACGTAACTGATTATACCTTAAACCAATTGAAAAAATTACAATTAAACAATCTTTGATCTTTATTATATTATTTTACCATCTTATAGTCTTAGCCCGACCGCTTATTTAAGTTTGAGACTCTAAAGATATTCAGATACTACTTTAATTTTTTTTGTTTCGCTCTATAAATGTTAATTAAGTAATTACGCGTTCATACAAGTGTAATTTCATTGCTAATCCATACATCGTTTTTGTTATACTTAGATATCTTTACTATGTCACTTTTACAACACGCTTTATGTTTGATTGACAACAAAACACACCACACAACGCTCCTTGCGAAATTTTTTCCAGGCCCAACATTATCTTACGAACATTTCTAGATCGTTCTCCCATTGCGCAATAACAGAGTAGAATTCCAGCTCGTGCTTACGTAAAGATTCTCGAACGATCGAGAGGGCGTTGCGAAAACTACATATACACACACACATATATATATATAAAACCCAAACAGAGTATTGTGTAAAACGTGTCAAGTATAGTGACAAAGATTTGAAACTTGAGTTTTTCTGAAAGCGTATTTAAAAATGGCTTTTGCGCGTAACATTGTACCTGTGCTGCTTGGGCGAGATTGGTGGGACGCCTGGGATTTTCCTAGTCGTATCGCAGATCAACATTTCGGGCTTGGGCTTCATGACAGTGATATTATAACACCGACTTTGTATCATGGCTACTACGTACGGCCCCGGCGACAAGTAAGCTGTAAGGCAGGTGGCGGCCTCTCTCAGGTGAAAAACGAAGCCGATAAATTCCAGATTTTACTTGATGTTAATCAGTTTGAACCTAACGAACTAAATGTGAAAACTGTCGAGAATTTCGTTGTCATTGAAGGTAAACATGAAGAAAAACCAGATGAGCACGGCTTTATATCCCGACAATTTGTACGACGTTACATGTTGCCCAAAGAAGTAGATCCGGAAACTGTACAATCTTCCCTGAGCTCGGACGGAATTTTGACGGTCGAGGCACCTAAGAAAGTCTTGGAAGGTGAGCAGCAAAAGGAACGAGTGGTACAGGTAGAAATGAGCGATAAACCGGCGGTGAAAGACGGCCAACAAGGACAGTAAAAATGTAATATTTGCGCGTTTTCCCTTTATACTAAATCAGTAAATGCTAGCCATTACAGATCACGCATTCAATGATCTAATGTTAATTAATGTGTAATTAATAATTCAGTGCTTAAGTTACAACTATAAGAGCCTAAACCTTTTGTCATTAGCATTTACAAAAAAAAAAATTGCTTCTCGATATAAAACAGTCCAATGTTTGTGTAATTGTGTGTATATTTCTTCTTGTATTAATGGAATAATTGAGACTTATTTAAGAAATAAAGTTACTGTTTGAATGTCTTCCTTCTTTTATGTCAAATTTTTTCTTAGGTGAGTATGGGTACTTATAACTAGAAGCATAATTATTATTCCGGTTTGACACCGTTTTACTGTAGTTGACTGAAATTTTCGTACGAGGCCTAAAAGTACGCCTAGCCTCGACAATCGGAGCATCGCTTTTTTTTCTGTCGCAGGAAAGACTGAGCATGTTCAGATTATTTGGCATGGAGCGCTTTCTAGTAACTTCTCTCAGTTACATGAAAATGACATAATAATGCTGGTAATCAAGGGTTTTTGAGTTAAAATAGATGTAATTTTCTTTTGGGAATGTTTTTTTTTTTCATGCTTGAATAAACTGTTAATTAAACAAACTAAAGGCATTAGTATGCTTTCCGAATAAGTATAGTATCAGTAGTTATTGGCGTAATGAGAGATGTATGTTTTAACATGCTTCGGGAATAAGACTTGCACAGATGATGATAATACAAAACTTAGAAGAAAACTAACATGGTTAAAGAAATGCATGCCAAATTAAAATACATTTATTGAAGAATTTGAAAGTAATTTTTCGAACAATAGCCTTTTGATGTGTCTATAGTAGTAACCAGGCTGCTTTTGGGAGTAATAAGGTACAATAACGTGTTTAAAATAACGAATAAATAAATAAAATGAGTACATGATTGGATAATATATTAAGCTAAAACACAACAAATCAGAGTATGAGAAGTAACAGAATAATAATTGTTTGAGTATTGTTAAAAAGAACAAAAAATATCGTGAAAAATTGCAGTAACGTAGAGTGATGATAAATTAAGTAAATAAGCAAAGTATAAAGAGAGACAACAAATTGGTTACGTGTACACACAGTGGGAAAATGAAAACATATTGTTATGTCTCCGTTTGTTAATTGATTTTTCCGTAACTTTGTTCCGACGAAATTTTAACGACACAAGTCTTTACTTAATAAAACTGGTTTATTCTTTCCGAATATAACTTTACCGATACACTCAACTTCAACAATCGCGCTAAAACAAACGCTATATCAACGAACGTCAATAATACTTCTGACTGCAGATCAATTACACAGATATTACTGAGTTATGATTTAACACAGTAGACAGTAATATCATTGAGTTATATGAGCTTTACGATGTCATTTAAATGCAAGTAACAAGAGACTTCTATCATTTTCTCTTTTACGTTCTAATTCATTTACTTTAAACGTTCACCTCTAAAACTGATAATATATTTAATTTTTTAGGATTCTTTGAAGTCAACGAACGGAACAGAAAACGAAGATAGGAAAGCAGTTACTTTTCTTCTTGTGGGATTCTCTCGATGTGGCGTAATTTTCTGGAGCATCAACGTAGGCGCCATCTATCTTTTTACTTAGTGATTATTCTATATATAAAATTACAATTATACAGTTATATATTAAAACATAGTACCATCGAAATTATCAACGTATTAAGATGCAACATGACAAAAGCGACACCTATATCATAAAATGTTAATTAACATGTAAGATGACGAAAGCGACACCTACCAATATAACCATATTTTTACTACCCATATAAAAATGAGTTGATATCTCTAATATTTGTACAGCATATCTAGAGGTTGTGGGATATCCAGGGGTGTTTTAAGGTTAATTGTCGCTTTAGGCCTAGAATGTTCCATTTCCTTCTCGAACGACTCACCAGGAAAATTATTTATCAATACGAGAACAACAACAAATTAAAATGCAATATTTTATTATAAAAAAAATCAAAATTAAACTTATTTTCCTTACGACACGTCACAAAAATTGTTGCGCTCTAGGCCCAAGCCTTGAAAGCCTATTGGTTAATACGACCCTGGGAATATCCCTAACAGGATCGCGTTATGATTGTCTCTCATTGACTCAAATAATAATCATAATAATAACAACATTATTTATTCAATTCCAAAATAAATGGTTATGGTGTGTGTGTGTGTATATATATATATATATATTGTTGCGTCATCGAGATCATGTGATTCTCACGCCCTTTACTTTCTAGAACTATCCTGTACTTTGGCGAATGCTCTAGTGTTTGCTAGATATAGGGTAGTTGGGTATATAAAAGAGGGGAAGGTAATGTGTGTGGACAGACTGTGTTAAATCATAACTCAGTAATATCACTGTGTTAAATCATAACTCAATAATATCACTGTGTTAAATCATATCTCAATAATATCACTGTGTTAAATCATAACTCAATAATATCACTGTCTACTGTGTTAAAACCATAACTCAATAATATCACTGTGTTAAATCATATCTCAATAATATCACTGTGTTAAATCATAACTCAATAATATCACTGTCTACTGTGTTAAAACCATAACTCAATAATATCACTGTCTACTGTGTTAAAACCATAACTCAATAATATCACTGTCTACTGTGTTAAATCATAACTCAAAATATCACAAAGAAAACAACAACTCATCAACAGATTTCTCTACAAAAATTGAGATATTTATCCGAATGATGATAAAAATCAAATAAAAATTATATAATGTTTCGCATTGTTTCATTTTTCGAACGAATATGACATTTGTATACTTAACCACCTATTGTAACGGCCAGGAAGGACGTTGCTTATGTTTTATTATATTGGAGCATGGCTATTGTACTTCAGGTTACTAATTATCAATCTAGACATCGTAGGTTTCGTGATGCTATCTTAAGCTTTGTTTGTTTGTCCTAGGGGACCTGTTTTAGAAACCCCCTTTTGTTTTTGTTTTTTCTTTTAGGCCTAACATGGCCTAGTGGTTATGGCACTTTATTCACTATCTGTGAATCGTGAGTTCGAATCCCGTCATGGCGGTCATTTTCACTTTTCGTTGGTAAAAGAGTAGTCCAAGAGTTGGCGGTGGGTGGAGTTGGTGGCGAGCACCCTAACCACCTGACCATGCCGGGCACAGATGTTACTACTGTTAGTTAATGTTATCAAATATATATATTTTTTTGTTTAATAATTAATTCATCTTTCATGCTAGAGAGGATACTCTCTGTTTTGCCTTTTCGTGTCTCCTTTTTTCGTACGCCCCCCAGTGGCACAGCGGTATGTCTGCGGACTTATACTGCTACAAACCGGGTTTCGATACCCGTGGTGGGCAGAGAACAGACAGCCCTTTATCACCTTTTCATATACTAGATTGACTGTAATTTTTAAAGATACGTTATTTAGAACATACTGTGTTGCCCCCCAGTAGCACAGCGGTATGTCTGCGGACTTACAACGCTAGAATCCGGGTTTCGATACCCGTGGTGGGCAGAGAACAGACAGCCCTTTATTAACTATTCACATACTAGATTGATTGTAATTTTTAAAGATACTTATTTAGAACATACTGTGTTGCCCCCCAGTAGCACAGCGGTATGTCTGCGGACTTACAACGCTAGAATCCGGGTTTCGATACTTATTTAGAACCTACTGTGTTATCTAGCGTTTAAATAAAATTGATTTAAATCGAAATTGATGGTTTAACCCCCCTAACGTTTGGGCTCTGCTTCTGGAAGTACCTCACCCACTAGGACACATGTTACCTACCCACAGTGTAGTTTGTGCCCCCTTGCTGTCTCAGGGGCAGGGCTTAGGGCTTATAACTCTAAAAGTTGCATTTGAAATTCGCGATGGGCGTACGACACATTCTGTAACTTTGCGTTTAACAACAAACAGAAAAACGTAGTTTGTACCCCAGTGTATATGTGTGTGTGTGTGTAATTTGGCCTTATTATTTAAAGCCGTACACACACACACACACACACACACAATTCATGATATCTGAAGTAGACCGTGGAATTTTTATCATATCTATGGTTTCTGGTATTCAACCGATTAAACACTCTCGATGTGTATATCCAATAACGTCACCCCTTCCCCAGTGCTGTTAGTCATGCAATGTCTGTCCTTCCTTCCGAATACTTTAAACAAATTCCCAACTACTAATTTTAAGGGGGGGACTAACTCTTAAAAATTGAAGTATACCCCGTGCAGAAAATAGTTTTTTTGAAAAAGCCGGAAAAATTCGCATACTGTATGTAAAAAGAAATAGCTCCGAAAGAAATAAAAAAACGAGTTCGGGTTATCTGTATAAAACTATAAAATGCTAAGAAATAAACTCTCTGTTTTGCCTTTTCGTGTCTCCTTTTTTCGTACGCCCCCCAGTGGCAATAAACACTGGGGAAATAGAAGTTCTAATCATATCGTATCTCTGTCAAGCTAAGAGCCTTATCAGTAGATGATCTGGCTAACGGTATATACTTGTGGTTTTAGCTGCACTGTAGGACTTGTTGCTAGGATACAGTAAGAAAAATTGTTGTCTGTCATAGTGATTGTGACGTTAAGACTTGTAGCTGGAACCGAAACGATACACTGTTAAACAATTGTTTATTCTAGTGATAATCAAGCCACCTGGTGTTTTGTTTCGTTCAAATAATAGTCACGTGAAACCCAGTCGTCAGGTTGGATGGAATTCAGTCCTACAGTTTCCAGAGTGGACATGGATTGAAGAAGTTGGATCACATAGTCATAACAGCAGGAAAAGAAGAAAAAAAAAACGAAACAAATTGATGTTCAGCATGAATACTTATTAGCTATTTTTTTTATACGCCAGAATAACTATTTATAAGCCAGGTGAATAATAAGTCACTCACATATACAAACAAGTTATGTAAAGGGTCCTTCTGTCTTTCCAGTGTGACGTAATATCCTGTTCTTCTAACCACGTGTAACATCCTATTCAGTTCATGTCACGTGCCTTTTCCTCTCTTTATGTGTGACGCAATATCCTATTCAAGCCATGTCACAGGCCGGTTATTCTCAATTCTTTATGATGTAAGTCCACCTACAATAACTTTTAGACAAGACGTGCTCCAACATTTGGTAAAACTTCATTAGTTCGTTAGAAACAGTGTTGTGGAGCATGGGGCCTAAATCACTATACGTTAAGGAGTTGTGGAGCAATGAACTCTCATTACTAACTATACATCAGGAAGTTTCTTGTGGAGCATGGGGCCTAAATCACTATACGTTAAGGCGTTGTGGAGCAATGAACTCTTATTACTAACTATACATCAGGAAGTTTCTTGTGGAGCATAAGGCCTAAATCACTATACGTTAAGGAGTTGTGGAGCAATGAACTCTTATTACTAACTATACATCAGGAAGTTTCTTGTGGAGCATAAGGCCTAAATCACTATACGTTAAGGAGTTGTGGAACAGTGAACTCTGATTACTAACTATACATCAGGAAGTTTCTTGTGGAGCATAAGGCCTAAATCACTATACGTTAAGGAGTTGTGGAGCAATGAACTCTTATTACTAACTATACATTACTAATTATACACAAGTAATAACAAAAAGTTTGGAACAAAATAAGGGCAATGTAGGGATGGCAATGTCAAAAAGTACAGAAACAAGGTAAGGATGAATACACAAAACTATACAAAACTCCCTATATAAGTAGCCACATCTTTCCAAGAAAAACTTTTATCAACAACTAAATGTTGAATTCCTTCCAGTTGCATGAATTCAGGTTTTAATAAAAGCATTCAAACTGAATAATGCTATTCAGTCTTACAATGGCTAATTCCCAAACACTTGTAACATTAACTCACTGGCTACTTATGTAGGGATTTTTGTATGGTTTTGTGTATTCATCCCTACCTTGTTTATGTATTTTTTGACATTGCCATCTCTACATCATTCTTATTTTTAAACAATGAATATTTTATAATGAATGGTAGTCGCTATGAAGGCACCAGTTTCAGCCTGGAGTGATGACTTGTCTTGATGGACTTCATGTGCTGAACACTATACTGTTTCTGAACTCTTCAAGTTCAACATTTTGGTGTGTAAATCATCACAACAACTTCAAGTCTTCTGACGTCAGAATCATATAATCAGCAGAACATTTGGTTGTTATGTTACTCGCCGGTTTTTTTTTTACTTTAGCGATGTTTTTTGGCTAAACTGAAGGTGTTAATAGCTTTTGAAAACCTAAGTTAGGTGTTTATAAAAGTCTCTTAGATTGTTATAAGACAGATTTTAAATTGTGATGAGCAATAAATAACATGAGTTGGCCATTTTCTTCCTGGCCCATCTTCACATCATGCTTAGGCTTAGTAGTTAGGAAGTTTGTTGTGAAGCAACGGTGTTGTATCAGTATAAATCAAAAAATTATTGCGGAAAATGGGGCCCATATTACAGCATATCAGAGACTTTGTTGTGGAACTTGGGACCTTGTCGTTACATCTTAAAAAGTGTGTTTTGAAGCGTGGCTCTTGTTTTTTTTATATGTTAAGACGTTCGACGTGGAGCTGTTAACTGTGACGTTGCGGTGACGTAATATTACAATTTCCAAGTCCAAACATTAGGACTATTTTACATGAACGCCGTAGTGTTGTGTATGCAGACTAAAGAAGTGTATGGTGGTAGAGATAAAAATAGCTTGTACAAAATTCATTATTCATTCGTTCAGTTGGAATTTCAGATTTTAGATGGGGAATATCAAGACTAACGAGCTGCGAGGCTACCATTTGAAACAGTAAAACTCGAGATTATAACGTTAAAATACGTGGTTTGATTACTGCAGTTGGCACAGCAGAGATAACTCCTTGTGCAGCTTTGCACTTAACAACAAGTAAACATAGATGTCGTTCTATTTGGGAGTAACGCCTGGAACCAGTAAACGTTTTATTTGTGTGTGTTTTCTATTATTTATGTAATGTTAATTTCAATAACAGTATATATATATATATGGTGTTCTTTTACATTTTTTAATACATATATTTCTATTAAGATTAATATTTTGCACAATTAATTTAGTATGAGTACGTGGATTTAGGAGTATCATGAGTCTTCTAAGCTGGCTGAACTTCGGGAGATATTATTGGGATTGTGACCGAAAACGTTACTAACATCGAGAATACCCAACTGGTGAATTAATGCATTATAATTAATATATATATATATATATATAAGGTTGATATATTAAATTAGTTATATCCATAGCTCTCTCCTGTATGAATAGCTTGCTTTGATCGGAAATTAATATTAATTCTTTAGGATTTTTTTTTTTACTTACCACAAGACGATATATGTAATACATAGTAACTGATACGTCGTACAAGATAACGAACAGTGTCACCACAGTCCAGGGGATAACATAGACGATTTGTTTTCGCTAAAAACATAAAGAATTAAATATTACATTACAATTGTGGAAAAGTAACAAAAACTTGTGTGAAAAAAAAAAGTGATGCGTTATTTTTTTTTTTTTACAAATATTAAATCCAGTCAGAAAAGATGTTACAAAGACAGCCAATATGGTGGAAGTTTAGATTCTACTAAAAATGTATACGCCATTAAAAAAGACGTATCAGAGTAGCAGTACTCACTATTAAAGTATATTTCTTTATCAGAATTTGTTTTTTATTTAGCTTTCATTTTTATGGTATCATTTACTTCGTGTCACAGCAACTATCACTTTATGGAGTCCTTTTTTTTGCCCCCCCCCCCAGTGGCCCAGCGGTATGTCTGTGGACTTATAATGCTAGAATACGGGTTTCGATACCCGTGGTGAGTAGAGCCCAGATAGCCCTTTGTGTAGCTTTGTGCCTAACTATAAACAAACCCTTTTTTTCCCTACTGCCCTTCTATGGCTCAGAGGTAAGTCTGAAGATTTGCAACGCTAAAAACCGAGTTTCGATACCCGTGATGAGCACAGACCAAATAGCCCATTGTGTGGCTTAGCGCTTAACAACAAACAAAGTTTCCTTGTTGAGTTGCGGGATCGAAGTTCATCACTGAACATGCCCATTTTTTTCGGCCATGGAGTCGTTATAATGTTACAGCCAATCGAATTAGTAAAGAGTAGCCTAAAAGTTTATAGTGGTTCGTGCTGACTATCTTGTCTATCGCTGTCAAGTAGCTTTATGCATAATTCAACGAACAAATAAAACTTCTGAAGAGTCTCCTTCTTTCAGGCGTTGAATGGATATATTACATTCTCGTGTTCTTATAATTTTATATCAATGCTTTCTTTCTTTATCAGTTCACTTTTTTGTTTACGGCCCCCGGCATGGCCAGGTGGTTAGGGCGCTCGACTAGCAAGCTGAGGGGTGGGGCAGAAGTGGGTTTATTTATTCATACGCTAAAATCCGTGGTTCGATTCCCCGTGGTGAACAGATTATCATGATAGTACTGGAAGAGATCTTTAAACAGACACTTGAACTTGGCAGTGTGACAAATGAATGTTTGATGTATCGTCAGATATAATGACATGCAGTGACTGATCAACATTATGTTAAAATATAAATAATTGGCCGTGCGTGGCCTACATGGCTAGTGTGCTCAGACTTTAAATCTTAAGGTTCATGGTCTGTTTCCACACAGAAAAAAAAAGAAAGAAAAAAAGGGGGGTCACTTTTCACTTTGGAGTAGAGAATATATTATAAATGTGACGACAAAACCCAACGATTTGATAAAATAAGAGTGATCTAAAAGTTGGCTGTAGAGACTGTTCACTAGCTGCTGGCTCGGGCGCTTGACTCGCAATCTGAGGGTCGCGGGTTCGAATCCCCGTCCTACCAAACATGCTCGCCCTTTCATCCGTGGGGGCGTTATAATGTGACGGTCAATCCCACTATTCGTTGGTAAAAGAGTAGCCCAATAGTTTGGCGGTGGGTGGTGATGACTAGCTGCCTTCCCTCTAGTCTTACACTGCTAAATTAGGGACGGCTAGCGCAGATAGCCCTCGTGTAGCTTTGTGCGAAATTCTGAAACAAAACCAAAACCAAACTTTTTTTTTTTTTTACATACCTCAACTTTTCTCTTTGTTTGAATTGTATTTGGTTGGTGTGTGTTTCATATTAGATTACTGATTGTGTTAGATTCTCTATATGTTCGATAGAGTTCTTCATTTGTCCTTATTAGATTAATTATCACTATCTTTGGTAGGCTATCATTCTAGAAAATATTGCCCCGCTAACAATTAAAACAGTGAACATCATGATATTTCACACGTTTCATCCACCATGATGGACCAGGCGTGACCTAGTATATAATGTGCCTGAATGTGAATCTTGAGGTCCATGGTTCACATTCCAGTATTGTTTCAGTACTTTGGTGCCGTGGGTGTGTTATAAGAGTGGCGGTCAAATCCTCATAGACAAGAATAATTCAAGAGTTGGCGGAGGGTGCTGTTAATTATATATGTATGGATATATATAAGCCTATTCTATACTTTGAGACGTATGATACTGCTCCTTTAAGAAAGGACCCAAAGAAACTGTGATGAAATAATATTTTGTATCGGCAACACAGTTATAAGTATTATATATCACAATATCCTGTGAGCACGAGTGTTGAAACTAACTAAATTACATTGTAGACATTTTAAATGCGAGCATGTGTGTGTATGTCTGTATATATTCTTCTTTTTTATCTGAAACTGCTTCCCCCAGTGGCACAACGGTAAGTCTGCGGACTTATAACTCTAAAAACCGGGTTTCAATACCTGTGGTGGGCACGACACATATAGCCCATTGTGTAGCTTTGTGCTTAACATCAAAACAAATTTGATAACTACAAACAAAGCTCTTATCTCTAAGCAAATAAGGGCGCTGTTTTCCAGGTGTTGGCGAATATCGAATTTTTAAACCCCTATACACACAGGTTTCCCCTTTTTAAACCCCCCATACACACAGATTCTCATGTACACGTCAAAGCTGAAATCTTTAGTCAGCAGTAACGATAAAAGTAACGAAAATATTCAATGTAATATTTACCGTTAGATGAGACATGCACGTGACGTCATGCAACGCCGCCATATTGGACGTAAAACATTCTGTTATAGGAATCTATATCAACACGAGATTCGGTAGAGCTTTACATGCTGTCAATGTTATGAACACTGAGTAGAACTTTACATGATGTCAATGTCATCAACATTAAGTAGAGCTTTACATGATCTCAATGTCATCAACATTCAGTAGAGCTTTACATGATGTCAATGTTATGAACATTAAGTAGATCTTTACATGCTGTCAATGTTATGAACATTGAGTAGAATTTTACATGCTGTCAATGCCATCAACATTGAGTAGAGCTTTACATGATGTCAATGTCATGAACATTAAGTAGATCTTTACATGCTGTCAATGTCATCAACATTGAGTAGATCTTAACATGTTGTCAATGTTATGAACATTGAGTAGAGCTTTACATGATGTCAATGTTATGAGCATTGAGTAGAACTTTACATGCTGTCAATGTCATCAACATTGAGTAGATCTTAACATGCTGTCAATGTCATCAACATTGAGTAGAACTTTACATGTTGTCAATGTCATGAACATTAAGTAGAACTTTACATGTTGTCAATGTTATGAACATTAAGTAGAACTTTACATGATGTCAATGTCATGAACATTAAGTAGAACTTTACATGCTGTCAATGTCATGAACATTAAGTAGAACGTTACATGCTGTCAATGTCATCAACATTAAGTAGAACGTTACATGCTGTCAATGTCATCAACATTAAGGTAGAACGTTACATGCTGTCAATGTCATGAACATTGAGTAGAACTTTACAGCTGTTAATCTCTGTATATCGATGAGATAACTTACAGCGTCAGATAACATGATATCTGAAGAAAAAATGTGTTTTATCTCTCCTAAAACGAATGTAAGCGCTTAACGTCCGATATGGCGGAGTAATCTACAGACTATATAACTCTTTGACGTCAGTGTAAGACCTCCATAAGAGTATAGTGCGATTTCTTAGATACGAGATTGCACAATTCGACACTCGGGAAGAGGCGTAAAGAAAACATATTATGTCGTGGTCACGATATATTAAACTTAGCACACGACATAATATTTTTCTTGCATGCCTTTTCCCGGGCTCCGTAATATATGGCCCTGGTTAATCGTTAAGTAATTTGTAATACATATTTAACATAAAATTTTAATGTATAATCTTGCAGTTTCAACTAAATTATGTGTGCAACTTGTATTATGTGTGCATAATCAGTTTAGAAATGTGCTAATTGCTGCGTCCACTGAGGAGAATCGAACCACTTCTTATAGCGTTGCAAATCCGAAGACTTACCCCTGTTCCACCAGATATCGAAAATAATAGTCATTTTTTTTACAAATCGGGAAGAAAAAAAACTCTTACTTAGATCAAATTATTATTTCGTTTACCACAATGAACATGTTTTAATATTATGTTTGTTAACAAAAATACAAAC